GGATGAGTGAGTAGGTGAGCTAGCTTTCGTTTTGATGTAGAATACATGGACATTTTAAGGGAACACGAAGCAGGCAGGAACCAGAAAACCTCACAGTAGGAGAATGTGTTTTCTTTCTCCGATGATCTTTCCTCACTGGCAAAGACTGAGCTCCTTCTATTTCTATCCTTTTAGCACTCCTTTTGGGCGAGGCTCTGTGTTCGGTGCATGTGGCCCGCAAAGCGGATATGGATGCTGCCCATGTGTCGCTTAAAATATAGCGGAGCTGTGTTGGCCAGGCTTTCTGTTGCTGTGGCAGATACGCTTGAAAGTGAATTAAGGGGAAAGGAGATTGATTTGGGTTTATAGTTTCAGAGGTGTCCATCCATCATTGCAGGGAGTACATGGCAGGGCAAAGTTTACTGAATGGTTGCCAGCGAGCAAAGAGAGAGGAGGGGAGAAGGAAGTGGGGATGGAGGGGAAGGGAAGGGAAGGGGGTAGAGAGAGCACACACACAGCTGCACTTATGGCTTGCTCTTCTCTCGAAGCCTGTGGCATGATGCCACCCACATCCAGGGTAGATCCCCTCCCCTAGTGAATGAACTCTCTTGGGAAATGTCCTCAGGCACACCTAGAGGTTTGCTTTGCTTTCTTATTTATTTACCTTCCATTTTAAATTCAGTTTTTATATATTTTGTGGGGGTGTGATTGGGATGGTCAGATCAGAGGACGACTTGCAGGAGTCTGTTCTCTCCCATCACGTGGGCCCCAGGTACCAAACTCAGGTTGTCAGGCTCAGAAGCAAAGCCTTTATCTGATTTACCAGTTTTCTAGAGGGTGAACTGCCATTCCATTGTAAACCTTCACCCAGCCATTAAAACCCCTCCATAAGTAATTTATGACAAACATTTTGAGTGTGTGTGCTCCCAGTCAGCTCTCCAGTGGTTTCCAGAGACCTCAGGTGTCTTCAGTTTCGAGAAGAGTGGGTATCCGCTTGCTTTGGCTTTAGAACTTTGAGAAACAAGAAGCTTTTATCTGAAACAACAGCGCATTTGGAGTGCTGTGGTCCCCAGGCCCTGAATGACTAAATGTCATATTGATTCTTTTAATGAACTTGTAATATGGTGAGACTTCTTTCCAGTTTGGGAAGGAGTCACCTGGGGCTCAGAGACATAGAGTCTCAGCTGGAGCAAGGTCTTTCCAACCACTAGTTCTGGATATGGACTCTGAGCCCCATGAGTAACCAGATCCAGAAGTTCCCCTCCCTTCCCTTCTCCTCTACTCTCTCCCCCTCTCTTCCCTTTCCCCTCAATCCAATGGGGGGGGGGAATACACAATTTAGGTGAACTCTCTGGCTCCAATTCATCCCCAACCCTCAAGGCCACTCCTGCAAGCTACAAGCCCAGAGGCAGAGCGCAGGTACGGAGGGCTTCCTTTGCAGCTGTTTCAGATATGTGAACTTGAAGACACTTTCCACACTTCTAACCCTGCTGCCAGCAGCGGCACATACCACACTTCCCACGAGGTTCTTTCTGTAGACTCAATCTCCTTATTTCTCAGTCCTCCCTTCCCCTCCTCTTCCCCAACACGAACCCTTCACCCATCACCTGCTCAACTTCATTAGGCACCTATGCTTTTTTTGGCATCTTGGGTGGAGCTGTGGTCACAGGCGCCCTGGGCTGTAGCTGGTACCTAACTGACACATACGACTGGGAAGGGAAGCGAGAGTCTTCTTACTAAACTTGTTCCAATGCTGGGATGGCCTGGGGGCCTCGGCTTCTCTTTTGGTGTCCAGGCTTCTCCCTACTGCCCTCCAGCATCCCTTCCCTAGGATGCCCATGAACCTTGAAGACACAGGATAAATCAGAGTCCTAGCTCCTCAGACTCTTCTATGGGCTTTGTTGTTCTGATACTGAGGCTCACTACTATGTAGCCAAGAGCAACTGAACTTCTAATCCTCCTGCCTGTGCCTCTGAGGTGCTGGGTTTACAGACATGTACCACTGTCCTGGGTTCTTTTGCAGCTCTGGTTTGATGTTGTTTCTTTCTGAGAAGGTTCTGCTACCTAGCGTGGGCTGGCCTGGAATTCTCTGGCTTCCTCTCGGTCCCGCTGGGTAGTATGGACTTGTGCTGCTCCTGGCTTCCTTTGGACTTTTGTCCTTCCCCTTGGTGGCACCTTCCCCTGGAACCTTCTCCACAGCAGCTCCTGTCCCACCTGGGCTTCTGCTTGGGACCGGACTGCAAAAGCAGCCTCTTTGCTGCCTGGGGTTGCTCTCTCTCCCTTTCTTCCTCTCCACCTCTTCCCCTTCCTGGTCCATTGCTTTCTAGCACACAAAGCACAGTTCAAGGTTTTGTGTTTGGGGAAAATGAAGGACAATTTAAGGTGGTCAGTGAATTCAACATACAACAGTGAATCATTGTGTAGCCAAGGATGACCTTAAATTTCTGTTCTTCTTGCCGCCACCTCTCAAGTGCTGGGATTACGTACACAAGTGCTACTGTGTCCGTTTTGTGCAGTGCAGAAGATGGGACCCAAGGCATGTCAGACACTCACCCCACTAAAGCCTCCGTGCTTTCCTTCTTTTTAATATGCTTGCAGTAGCACTTGCCATCTATTTCATGCAAGCGGTGTAAAAGGAGCTTTGCGTTTCAATGTTTTCTCATTGTTCACAAACATACCTTTTGCACACGTGACTGCTTTATTAAACTAGAGTACAGCCATTGAACGAAACGCTTCCTTCATTGTTTCTTCTCTGTGTCTTGCCTTTTCTACTTAATAGAGCATGAAAATCCCTCAGATCAATGTGGCTCTATTTCTTTTTCCTTCCTTCCTCCTCCTCCTTCTCCTCCTCCTCCTCCTTCTCTTTTCCTGCCCCCAGAATGTGCTAGGCAGACTAGACTGACCTCAAGCAGAAATCCACCTGCCTCTGCCTCCAGGGTGCTTGGATTAAAGGCATGCACCGCTATTTCAACCCTCTGTCTTTCAAAAGGCTGCATACGATGCCATGCTATGAGCAGACCAGACTTTACAAGCAGTGTGCCCATGGACAGACATTTGACTTCATGGGTAGTTTTGTGCTATTCCATAAAAATGCACTGAACACTGCTTTCCTTTCCAAAAAGCACACGTATTTGTTTGTGTGTGTTCATGCCGCGGCATGTGCGTGAGGTCAGAGTCAACCCACTGCAGCAGGTTCTCTCCTTCCACCATTTGAGTCTGGGGGCCAAGCTCAGGTCCTCAGGCTTGGTAGCAAGTGCTTTTACCCGCGGAGCTGTCTCTTCCATCAGCATTGCACCTTGTTAGGTCCAGGCTTCTTAATGGTACAAGGTAAACTCGCCGGGAAAAGCAAACGTTTCTTTTCATGAAGTTTTATTGCAGAAAAAAGGTGACCCAATTTGAAATGGGAACTTATGGCCAGTCAAAGTGTTGGTGACAAGGAGGAAGGATTCCTGCCCTGGGATCTCTGTGAACAGGGATCATGATGAAAGGAAGGCTTGAGGTAGCCTCTGTTCTTTTTCCCACAGCAAGAAATTCAAGGTCACACAAAGCCAGGTCCTTTCTTGCAACCAGGGATGGGACAGTGCCTGTAACACATAGCCCACGGTGCTGGAGTACAGCCAATTTCAATACATTGGTTACAGCTTCCCTGGGAGCTGGCAGCTTCCACTTTGCACTTTCATTTAGTTTGCCAATCAACAAACATTGAGTCCTGGAGGACCCGGCTGGGATCTGCCCTACAGAACTTTCTGGTCTAGGAGAAATAGCACTCACCTTTACGCACAAGAAAGTGGTTGTCCGCCCTAAGAGAGAGATGATACCAAAGGAGCTGAAACCCCCACCCACCCCAAACACGGTTGCATACACACATACTTGGACATAGGACCAGATAAATACAAAGTATCAATCACACGCTGACACACTCACACATAACCCCCAGCTCCACCCCATCCTAAACATGATTTTGCACATGCACACGGACATTCAACCAGATCAATACAGAGTCTCAATCATGTGCTAATACACTTACACATAGCCCCCCAGCCACCATTCCAACCCTCCCTTCTTTTTCCTCCCCCGCATATGCACAAATATTAAAAGCCACACCTGGGCACTGGGCTCATTGCTATGGGAACCGGAATTCTGCAAAATTCTGCAATCTTCATTCATGCGCATCTGAATTCTCGCTCTGAATATTACAGTCGCTGTGGAGTTTGCAATTTGAATTCTGAGTCATTTCCCCATATAGGTCAGGCTGGGAAGCAAAGGACGGAACTGGTGAAGACTGGCAGTTAAAGACCTGATGACTTTCTATCAGAGTGATGGCAGGGCCTAGATAGGAAGGACTGTGTCTCCAAGGGTGCTGCCCCGGGACTTCCCTGGGCCCTAGACAACACAATGAGCAGGGAAATCCAGAGGGAGACAGTTGAGAAAGGTTTATCCTTTGAGAGAAGCAATGGCATTCAGATAAGTAACAGCCTGCTCAAGGGACCTCACAGGGAGGGGGCCAGGGGGACAAGCACCATGTTTCTGCTGGCCTCCCTCTCTCTCAGCTCTTTTATAGCTCCCCATAGCCTGGATCCAACAGAAGCCCAAAGCCCTAGGCAGATGCTGAGGTTGCCTCCCAGGACAGAGTGGACAGCAATGGCACTAAAGGGACAAAAGCCCCCTATCTGGCATTGGCAACGCATTTTTTATCACTTGTGTTTCCCTTTCTGATCTGTAAAATGGGATTGATAACTATACCTGCACTGTGTTGTTGAGAGTAAATGGATTATGATATGCAAGCTGGAACAGGCCCTTAGAGAAAACCAGTTTCTCTGTCATTGGAAAGCACTCTGTAGCACAATGATTCCCACACAGAGAGAGCCTCCCCCACCCCAGGCTAAAGGGAACAAAGGAACCTGAGGCTGAGGACCACATTTTCCCAAAAGCCTCGGCAGGCTCCCGTCATTAGGACATCTTGGTGGCTCCCAGGCTGGAGCTCCCTCACCCACCCTGGCTACTGCTGTTTTGTTTTTCAGGCCTCCCGTCTCCATTCCCCCCTGTCCAGCGTGGAAACGGCAGCACCACACACGTACCCTTGGACCCAGGTAAGCACACCATTTTCCCAGGCCTGCAGTTAACTTTCTGAGGCCAAGCAGACTGCCTCTGGGTTAGTGAGAAAGGACAGTGGACTTTCAGGTACCAAGGAAGCCCTGTGACTCCAGAGAATGCCCCTTCCTCCTGGCCTGGGAACCAGGTCCCATTAGGCTCTCCTTGCTGTCTGAGAACGACTGTATTTGAGAGTCTCATGTATACCACAAGCCACTTGAGGGATTTGTGCAGTGCAAGCCGGGGTTTGTGGTGGGGTGATGAGCACCATCAACCCTGTCTTTCGTTTTCTCTGCAAGTGTTTACTGATGCCCTACTCTGTGCAGAGCTAGCTGTGAGCAAGCAGTGGGGCGCGTTCTGGGGAGCAGGAACAGGTTATTTCTATAGGAAGGTCCCTGGGACCTAAGAAAGGTTCCTATAGGAAGGGCACCCAATCCACTGCAACAGCAGGTCTTGTGTGTCCTCTAGGTTAGAGGTTCAGTGCAGCCCAGGGACTAGGGAAGAACTCTTGGTCCAACAAGGGCCCCTGAGCCAAAATCCTGATTTTCTGTTACAAAGGATGCCACTGGAGACAGGGGTACCAGATAGGGGATTGTGGAACCCAGTCTCTGATTCTCACACTGCGTCTCACCTACCATAAAGCACCAGTTTGGTTCCTGAGCCACACATTTTCTCTAAACTGAACTCTAGAGTGAGGCCTTGATGTGCGCCTGTCTTTCCTGCATCCTACCGGCAGGAAGGCCAGAGAACCAGAGCTGGGAGAGGTGTTGGCCAAGGTCATGAAACAGGGTGGAGGCGGATCCCCCAGTTGTCAGTTTCACCCCCATTCCTATGGGGGAGCAAAGTTCTGAAGAGCTCTTAGTTCAAATTTGACGCTTCCAGAGGAGCAGCTGGGGGTCCGCCTGGTGAACGGGAGCAGTCGCTGTAGTGGTTTTGTGGAGGTTCTACTGATGACGTCCTGGGAGCCTATATGCGTGGTGGATGGAGACAGACTCACTACCGAGGCTGTGTGTGAAGCGCTGGGATGCGGCGCTTTGGAGAAGGCTACCTACCTGATGCCACCCAGGGCCACCTCTGGGAACATCAGCAGTGCCGGGAATACGACATGGGCGCAGGCACCAACTGTGCGATGCAGCGGAGCCAATTGGCAGCTATGCAAGGTGGCGGACCAGGAGTGCAGCAGCGACAAGAGGCTGGTGCGGGTCACCTGTGCAGGTACATGTTCCTGCCCCCTAACTACCCCACAGTTTAGACTTCAACCGCTACAGTCAAACTTTGGTCCCCAGACTTCCACCACCAGCCTCCCAAGTCGTACCAGCTCAAGGGGTTCCATGTCGATGCCCCACTAAATCATGTCATTACCAGATCTGAGCATCACCTCAGATGTGGCCTGCAGACTCCTCCTCAGCTGGATCTCCAGAGCATCCTCTTGGTCCTCTCTGGTCTCCTATGCTAACCCAATCTGTTTATTCCCTGTACCCTTCCTGATTGTGACTATATGTTCACTCTTCCCTCCAGATAGATAAATTTGCCATACTTCCAGGCTGTCTTTGCTCTGAGTCTTGGTGACTGAGATAATACTCATGGCTTTGCCTACCTGGTCTCTAGTCCTGCCTCCTGTTTTTCACATTCCTTCCACATAATCTCTAAGTCACGCCCACGGGGTTCACAGTTTAGAGGGGGCTCCCAATCCTCCCTCTAGGTTATAGCCACTCCCACTCCCACTCTTCCTGCCCCACCTCCAACATCCAAAACCCTCCCGTCCTCAGAGAACCAGGCTGTGCGGTTAGTGGACGGTGGCAGCCGCTGCGCTGGACGCGTGGAGATGCTGGAGCATGGCGAGTGGGGGACAGTGTGCGATGACACGTGGGACCTGGAGGATGCGCACGTGGTGTGTAAGCAACTGAGGTGCGGCTGGGCAGTGCAAGCGCTGGCTGGCTTGCACTTCACCCCCGGCCAAGGACCCATTCACCGAGACCAGGTGAACTGCTCCGGGACTGAGACCTATCTGTGGGACTGTCCGGGGCTGCCTGGAGACCAGTACTGCGGTCACAAGGAGGACGCAGGAGTGGTATGCTCAGGTCAGTCGGTGAGCCTGAAGGAGGTGATATATTTATGATGGGGCATCCTTAGTAGAAGTAGGATTGAAGGCGGAGAGTGTCATATCTACCCCTCCCTCATCACTGTTGAGTCAGGGCTTCTGGTCCCGCCTGTGCTGCTTTTTTATATCCACAGCAATGGCGTTAGTGAAGTGATCTGTAACAACCCCCAGAACGAGCTGCTGCTGTCTGTTCACAGCTCACATTTGAGCAGCCAAGATCTAGAGTCCCACCAGGGGGCTGGCCAGAGCAGGTGGAGTGGGCAGAGGGATCACAGGTGCAAGAGGGACGAAAACAAGGGCTGTCTGGGCTCATCTCTGCGTTGGGGTTCTAAGTTGGCAGCAGTTTGGGCCCACAACATTCTAGCTCGACTCTGTCACCTGCCCACAGAGCACCAGTCCTGGCGCCTGACTGGAGGCATTGACTCCTGCGAAGGGCAGGTGGAGGTGTACTTCCGAGGGGTCTGGAGCACCGTGTGTGACAGCGAGTGGTACTCGTCTGAGGCCAAAGTGCTCTGTCGGTCCTTGGGGTGCGGATCGGAGGTGGATCGGCCCAGGGGGCTGCCGCATTCCCTGGAGGGTAGAATGTACTACTCCTGTGAAGGAGAGGAACCCACCCTCAGCAAGTGCTCCTGGCGGTTCAACAACTCCTTCTTGTGTCGCCAGTCGCTGGCAGCCAGAGTCATCTGCTCAGGTACTCCTTCCCCAGTCCCTCCACCACTAGATCTAATCCACAAATTCAGCCTACAGATGGCTTAGCAACTGCCAGATACTGGCCCAAGAAAGATCATTGCCCTTACCATGCCCAGGCAGACATTACTAATGGATCAGAATGATTTTTTTTTTTTTGGTTTTTTTGTTTGTTTTCCTGCAAGATACTCAACTCAGAACCAAATTCATGGATTAAGTGACTACCAAGGAATTCATTATTATGTGCTAAGTAATTGGTCTCTGTTGATTGGAATGGTTCAGGAGGTGAAGCCAACTTGCTATCCCAAAGGTGATGGTTGCAGGAAAAAAGACAGGTTAGGACACATGGATGGTAATTACACGTGTGACAGCATCTGGAGCTGTAGTCACATGCCAGACACTGCCAGGCTCTTGGCAGCTTATGTCAGTCCGGTCTTACACCCAGTGTAGGAGGAGGCTGCTACTGCACTTCTCCAATTCTAAGACCACAGTGGAAGTCATAACATTGGTGTCTATGGCTTATAAAGACAAAGCAGACTGGAGGTGCAGCTTGGTGGTAGACCACTTGCCTAGGTGTGCCTGACGCCCTGGGTTCAAACCTCAATACCTCAAGGAAGGGAAGAAGGGAGAAGAGAGGAAAGGAGGGGGGAAAAGAAACACCAAAAATCCTGCTGAGGTTGGTGTGGTGAAAGAAACCAAACTTGACACGCTGTCACACAGAGTGAGACCATTGCTCCAGTGACAGAGGCTTTGTAGTATGAACGTGAGGTTCCCCCACCTGCAGGAACCCAGTGTGAGCCTCCCTGTGGGGCTCAGAATCCTGACTCCAGCTTTGCTGTTTAGCAGCAAGGAGGACCGGGGCAGCTCCTCAATGTCTGTGGCTTCAGAATAAAGGGTGCTCTTCTGGGTAGCTGGGGACTGAGATGCTGGCTCCTCAACGTCTGTGGCTTCAGAATAAAGGGTGCTCTTCTGGGTAGCTGGGGACTGAGATGTTGTGGCTTAAGGCCTGTGTAAGCACCACAAGCTAGGAAGCAGATTCGCTAGAGGAGGTGTGGATTATGTTGACGAGAACACAGCTCCCTAGTTCCTGAGGTCCCAAAGAGCAATTGAAAGTTGAGTGGGGAAAGGACACGGTCTGCAGCAGCTTACTGAGGAAGAAGGGATAGTTCTATCCACCCCCATCCTAACTGAAGCCTCTTCCTCTCACTGCTATGGGCATGGTTCCTGTACCCTTAGGCCTACAGTGAGATCCAGGGCGCTCATCTGTCTTGTTCAGTTTCTAGACCAAGGCTTGTTACACAGTAGGTACTCAGTAAACTCACTAAATAAATTGGTGGTACTTTCCAACAGACTCCCGGAGACATCTCAACTTGTCCACTGCTGAAGTGCCTTCCAGAGTTCCTGTCACGATAGGTGAGTGTAGCTGCTCCCACAGTGCAGGTGCCTGTGTTTGCATGTGTGTTCATATAGTCATGGGTGTCTGCCTGGGGACAGCTGATGGATTGTTTCCAGGGCCCCCAATCCCACCGATGAACTAGTCCCTTGGGGGACATCCTGCCATAAAGGACCTATGTGAACAATATACACCACACACATGCACACGCACACCTTGTGAGCCAGAGGGATCCTAAGTGCTTTGAAACCACTTGGGTGCCACACTCCTGGCACCAAGAGCACCAGTCAGTGTGAGTAAGGTTTAGGGTGTGTGGTCTAGTACCCTCCTGCATTATTTCCCAAACCTTTCGGCAACCCCCCCCCCTCAACTGAGGGAAGCCTCTCTAAAATCTGAGGAACAAGCTAAAGTCCAGAGTTAGGGTGACAGCAGTCCTGTTGGCCAGCACTCAGAACTTCAGCTTCTTTCCAGACCTGTACCAGGTCCGTCTGCTAGTCCTGTGTAGCTTGGCCAGCAACCAGGACTGGCTCCTGGGGCTCACATCCCTGCTGCGGGTATGTTCTCTGATTTCATGAGAGTTTCCCAGCACTCAGAGTGGTCTGTGCAGTAAGAGCTATGTGGAGGTCCAGCATTGGCAGCACTCCCTGCTGCTCTGCCTGATCACTTGCACCCTCCTCAGACCCTCAAGATGGGGCAGGACAGGGCCTGGAGGAGACACCAAAGGAACAGAGTTCTGTCAGAGGCCCTGGCTACGGATAAAGAAAATAGACAGGAGTGAGGCTCTAGGAACTGCCCAGGCTATGGAATGAGATTGACAGAACTTGCAGCTCCCATGTCCCTTCTTGAAGTCAGGGTGGGGAGTCACACCTACTGCAGAGAGAGACTAGGCCTCCTGGAGTCAGGTGGGAATCCACTGTCAACACTTCCCTTAGCCCCAGCGGTTTCCTTGGGGTTTACACACCAGAACCCCCACTTTTCAGCATCCCTTCACACTGCTTCTGAGTAGCAAATCAACCTTCCCTTCCTAGCCCAAACCATCCCTGTCAGCAGCCAGAGAGGAAAGGAGGAAAAGTGAGAACTGATGGAGAACTGTGTTTTCCTCTGGGAAAGCAGAAACAGCCAGAGCCTATGGCCCTCCTTACAGCTCCTCCCCTCCACCCAGGCAGAGCCTCCAGGCCTGTGATAATGTCATCTGGTGTAACCCTAGGCTATAATGCCTGACACACAGTGGTACTAGATGATTGTCTGCTGAACAAAGGCTGGGTGCTGAAGGCCGAGAGAGGAGGAGGAAGGGGGGGGGACAGGGAGGGAGGGAGGGTGAGTTGTGGGCTAGTAGCCAAAGGGAAATTTCAGACAGTAAATACATTTAGTCGACTGCTCATTTAATATGCACTTAGAAGCCGATGGGAAGATTTGAATAAAAGACACGGGAGGAGGAAAATGGTGGAAAGGAAGGTGGGGATGCTTCATGAAAGTTGAAAAGGTAAAGGAAGGTGTTAAAGGGGCTCACATCCATTTCTTTTCCTGCCTGAACTGGGTTTCCAGAATCTTCTGTGCCGGTGAGCGTGAAGGACAAGGAGTCTCGAGAGCTGACACTCCTCATACCCTGTATTGTCTTGGGAAGTCTCCTCCTTGTTTCCCTCGTCTGCATAGCTGTTCTTCTCTTGAGAGCGAAAGGACGTTATGGTAGGTGTGACCTTCCCAGAGCTACTGCACAGGAAACAGCAGTTGTGAGGTATAGGCATCCCCCAGTACACGAGGTGTGGAAGAGCCCCGGTGGGAGTGGTCCTGCAAGGACCACCCAGCTCAGGCCTAGGGAAACCTGCTGATGGGAAGGATTTTCCAAGCACGCATAGTAGTAGAGCCTACTAGCGGAGGTTTCTCGGGAGAAGCAGACTCTGCGTTTGTGTTGGGTGTGGGGTGAAGGAAATGTGCCCTTGATGGAACCTGAAAGTCCATCTGGTGTAACAGGGAAAATAAAAATGATGTACAGGCCTTCTGCCTCCCTTCCTCAGCCCTCCCTGCTTCAGCGAACCACCAGAACCTGCCCGCTGCCACCCAAGCAGGAAGTAATAACTATCACGCTGTCCCCATCACCATTCCCAAAGAAGGTAGGATGTCCCCCATGGGGGAAGGCAGGCGAAAGACGGGAGGGTGGACTCTGGAGGGTCACCATTGTTGAGGTTGAAGTAGCACCAACAGGAGGAGCCAGGCCAGACTATACACAGGGTGTGTTGCCTTGAGCAGTCACAGCCTCTCTGACATAGCCGACTTTCTAGTTCAGCCTTGCACCGACTCTGAGCCTTTGAGTTCTGAGCAAATATAGCCAAGTGTTTGAACTGTTGGTTCTCAGAGGAAACGTCATCTCTGCTCACTAGCTAGTAGACATGTGATGCCATTTCTCAAGATGCTTCCCAACCAGATGCCCCACAGGCCCACCACCATCCTCCCAGAACAAAGGCTGGGGTGTGGTTACATTGGTAGAGTACTTGCTTAATACACACAGGCCTTGGGTTCAGTCCCCAGCAGCACACAACCCAGACAATGGTGCACTCCTGTTATGCCAGTACATGGGAGGTGGAGGCAGGAGGATCAGCAGCTCAGGATTATCTTGACTATATATTGAGTTTGAGGCTAACATGGCTTACAGGAGACCCTATCTTTAAAAAAGAAACAAAAAAGATTCTCTTGGGTCTTATTTTTTTTTCATATTCTCTGAGTAAAAAAATTAGAACTGTGGAGATAACTCAATTGGTTGAGGTGCTTGCCTTGCAAACATGAAGACCTGAATTCAGTCCCCAGTGCCCATGCAAAAAGTTGGGCATGGTAGCATGGGGCTATAATCCTAGTGCTGGGGAGCTGAGATAGGCAGATAGATCCCTGGGTCTTACTGGCCACTCAGTCTAGGCTGATCAGCAAGCTCCAGGTCCCAGTAAGAGAACCTGTCAAAATGTGGTGAAGGGTAGTGGCTTGCAGCATATGGCTTTAATCTTAGGTCTCCAGAAGCAAAGTTAGGCAGATATCTATGAATTCAAGGCTAGTCCTGTTGACAGAAGCGAGGTCCAGGCCAGCCAGGTTTACTCAGTGAGGCCATTATCAAAAACAAACAAACAAAAAAAAAAGATTGCTATCTCTTTCTCTCTTTCTCTCTCTCTCTCTCTCTCTCTCTCTCTCTCTCTCTCTCTCCACACACACACACACACACACACACACACACACACACACCCTTTAGGACACACATTTGCCTCCAGAAAGTTTGAGTTCAATCTCATTGCATTGTGAAACAAAATGGATCACCTGCTATTCTGCCCCCTGTCCCTGCCTCTGGGCTCTCAGCCTCTTCCCTTCAGCGTTTTGCCCACCTTGGTGCTGGGTCCTGTGCCCCAATCCTCTGTTCTCTCCCCAGCGCCTATGCTGTTCATCCAGCCCCGGGTCCCTGAGGACTCAGACACCAGTTCCGGCTCTGACTATGAGCAATATGACTTCAGCTCCCAGCCGCCTGTGGCCCTGACCACCTTCTACAGTGAGTGCTGGGCTGGCTCCAGGGGCTTGGGACCTGCAGGAGGGCACCTGCTGGTACCCACAAGACTTTCATGGGACTTCCTTGTTGCTCTCCTGTACTGATTCCGAATGGTCCTAAAACTTTCAAAGTGCCCTGTGACCCTGGCTATCTGCCTGTTCACAGGAGTGTGACCTATGCTATCCCTGGCTGGGTAAGGTCTTAGTACCCTCACCAGGCCCCGCACGTGCATCTAAGGATGCTGAATTTGTGCAAACCCTGAGACTCCAGGTGAGACACAACTCGGGCAAATTCTTACACACTCATCATCCCCCAACCATATCTTACTCCGGCCTGCCCAGTCCCTCCACTGCTACACCAGCACATGCCTCGTAGTCTGTCTAGCTCTCCCACTGCCTGCTGGGAGCAGGACCAGGGAAGATGGCACCTACATCAGAACCCAGGCAATGCTTGGGGGACAGACAAGGCCGGAGGATCCCACACCTCTATGGATCCCCTTGAAACATGTCAAAAATCCTTGAGTGCCACTTATGCCTACTGTACAATCAAGTTAGTACCAGAGTTCGGTCATGTGTGACAGAAACCTTCCAACTACCAGAGTCCTGGAAGCTGAGGGAGTCCCAGATTCCTTCAACGCTGCCGTGACCTTTATCTACGTGGCCGCAGAACGAGCCATTGCCGTACCCACACAGCAGGACAGGAAGGTTATCCTTCACTTCCATCCCTCACTCAGAGCACAAGCCTGTGCTAGCTGTAAGGGGGCAGGACAGGGAGCCTCTGAAGGTTCTGCAGAGGAAGGATGGATGCTATCCCACCTCACAGCTGACTTGGGGTCTCTGGGAGGATCCCAGAGGAGGATCCACCTCCACTGACCCATGGGTGAGGTTTGGTGGCCGTACAGATACAGTGGGACATCTGAACTCAGGTGTATAAGGTGTCATGCTGTGTCCCAGATGCTATGACACTGGAACTCACAGTCACGGTCAAGCTTTAAAGAGCTGACCCACGTTCTTAAGCCTGAGCCTGAGCCTTGAAGCTGCGCAGAATGCAATGATTCTGGGCCATGTGGCTTCTCCACCCAGGAAGTGCCTCCCAGGTCAAATAACAGCCCATTTCTGGACCAACCAAGGGGCGAGCCGCTGAGTTGGTAACAATCTTATGAGGAACATGTGTGGCGCGGGGCAGGGGCGGGCAGCAACCACCTGTCTCCACACTGGTCCACGGTAGACCTGAGATACCATAGATGAAACTCGAACCCTGTCCCAGTCAGGGTTGTCCTCCTCCAGGCTCCTGGTAGGAGACGGACCCCATACCCACCTCACCCACCCTGCTTCCTGCAGATTCCCAGAGGCATCGGGTCACCGAGGAGGAGGCCCAGCAGAACAGGTTTCGGATGCCACCCTTGGAGGAAGGTGAGTCCAAAGTGGACGGGTCTTGCAGAAGATAAGCAGGGTGCCGACACTGCCTCCAAACTCGGTAGCTGAGCCCATCTTCGGATGTACTAGCAGCGACTTTCCTCAACTAGTGTCTCTGGCCTAACATTCCCATAAGCAGTAAGTTCTGCTGAGAGTCTAATTTAAAACGCTCTTGCTTCCTTCTTTCCCTTTTCCTGCCCCAGGACTCGAAGAGCTACATGTTCCCCACATCCCAGCTGCTGACCCCACACCCTGTGTGGCCAATGTCCCACCTCTGGGCTCTCAGTACCACGTGAGGAGCAACAGTGGGTCCAGCACCTCCTCTGGGGAGGGTTACTGCAACAATCCCAGCAGCAAGCCACCTCCGTGGAGTTCCCAGGTGTTTTCTTCTGAGAAGAGTCCCCCCGCAGAGCAGCCCCCCAATTTGGAACTGGCTGGATCTCAGGCAATGTTTTCAGGTAGTTGTATGTCCCCCAAGCGCCCAATCTTATGTCAAACCTACCCAGCAGAGGCGCAGAGCCCAAACTCTGAGTAGCTAGTTGGCTATGTGACCTTGGACAAGTCTCCTTCTCTCTCTGGGCCACTCCTTCCTCATGTGCCTAGCTCCAGACTTGGCTCTCTGGAGTCCTCAGGCTTGCTGCCTGAGAGTAACTAGTTTGGGTCTTCAGCAGGGACGGCAGACGGTGACAGTTCCAGCACCTCATCCGGAGAGTGGTACCAGAACTTCCAGTCACCACACCACAATCCTCCAATGGAGCAGTTTGAATGTCCAGGTACAGGGGCAGAGGCGGGGTCGGGGATGTGAAGTGTGGAGAAATATTTGGAGGTTTCTGTGAGAGGAAATGAGCTCACTGCCACTGGACGCATCCAAGCAGAAACTGTTGGCCACATAGGGGAGGTGCCAATAAGCGGTAAGGCTGATCACACGCACTCATTCACTGTGCACCAGCCTGGGAACCTCAGTTCTGGACTGGGGGCAGCAGTAGGCAAGAGGATGAGCTGATTTCAGATGGTGCCACAGGGACCGAGGTAGGGGGTGGACACAGGCCTGCTCACTGTCCCATGGGATGGCATGTCCCATGACTCCTCCCCCTGCTGACCTGATCCTCCTGGCCCCACAGGACCCCCTGACCCCCAGTCAGATTCCACTGATGAAGAGGAGGACTATGATGACATCGGAGCAGCCTAGCCTGGGTCCCTGAGGCTTACGGATGGCCCCACCCTCTGCTCTCCTGCTCTGCCACCTATCAGCTTCCAAGAGGCTGCGGCCCCTAGCAGAGGTGGAAGGGCATTCTCCCAGACCTTTATCCTCCACCCATCCATCAACCTGCAGGAGCCTGGAGCAGAAGGCATGGCCAACGGTGTGAGCACTGCGCTCTGGGTTGAGCTAGCAGGGGCTGGCCACTTCTGGCAGTGGTGGAGGGCCATGCTAGGTGACTCTGAGGCCTCAGCTCACTCTGCCGTGTCAGGTACTTTGATCCTAAGTCTCAGGAAGCTGCCAAGGGGCTGAGCAGGTCACTCAGTGCTGCAAGATAGGTCCTGGGTCAGGGGCTGCCATTATCACCCAGGAAGGCACTACTGTCTGAATGTAATCACAGAAGCGCCCACTTAGCATGGGACATGGCCTTCCTGGGCACTGTTAGCTGAGAGCAACCAAGACAAACACGCGCTCCCACCCAGCCAGGCCGAGGCCAGTACCTGCCCACCAGGGTTCTCTGAGTCCACCACAGGCACTGGCTGGACCTTGTCTCTATCCCTGGACAATAGAACATTATTCTGAGCTCCTTGGGTTTATAGGGGGTCCCTTCCCAGTCACAGAATCAAGAGATGGGCAGCTCATTGGGGCAAGAGCACAGAGGTCTGTCCTGGAGGGTCAGAGCTCTGAGTCCCCAGAGATCCCCTTGGGTTGACAAGAATGCTTTAGGTGAATGTGGCTATTGCACCCAGGACTTTAAACAGGACCTCCCCACAGCCTCAGAAAACTGGAGGGTTCCAGCCAGGCTATGGTGGCCTGTCCTCAGTTCCTGAGATTAAATGATTGCTGAGTGAAAATGAGGCGTGTTGTGACAATTCCTTAAACTCTGTGCTGTGTGTGCTTGTGTGTGTACTTGTGCGTGTGTGTGTGCGCACGCGCACACACGTGCACAAGTGGCGGCACACATTTCCTCAAGGGTACAGGAGCTCAAGTCCTTGCAGTGGAATGTTCTGGAGGCTCCAGCAAGAATTAAGGAAGGAGGCGACACCATATACAAGTTCATCTGTGCTCTGGCCATCCAGGTTCAGTCCTGAGGGCTATCTGGACACACTCCTGAAGGTTGTTCCCCAAGGGATGAGAGACGGGTATCCTGTGGTTGGTTGGGGACTTGGGAATGCTTCATCCTCCCCCACTCCCCACCATCACCCAGCTGCCTTAGAAGGTAAGCCCAATGCTCTGGTGCCCCCCTAAAATACTCTCAATGCAAAGGTGGCCTAAGAGCAGCGACCTTCCCATGACACTGTCTGTAGGAGACCAGCTGAATGCACTGTGTCTGGGCTCCACACTAGCTGTGGGCAAAGTGGAGGCAGCTCTGATCCATTCGGGCAAAACGTCAAAGCTGTCATCCACTGTGGCCTGGTACTCTAGCCAAATATAGGGAAAGGAGAGCCAGGCCAGCATGGTGCAAAGGATGGAGGACAGCTGTTTCCAGGCCTGTGGGCCAGGCTGGCTTTGCCAGATCTGCTGGCTGTCCGCACCCCCGGGCTGCCCGCACCCTGACAGTCCAGGGGCCTCCCCAGACAGAGTAGATGCTGTGGTCCATGTTGCCTGACTGGGATTTCACACAGGCGCAGATGACTTTAGCCTTACTGCCGTCATTGCTCAATGCCGCCTGCGGACTGTGGGTCTAGCCTTCCTCCGGGAGCTGGGGTGCCGGTTGATGGACCTGCTTTCCGTTCCTGTCCCTGCTGTACCAGCCACAGGCGTTCCCGGGGCAACCGTCCCAGGATGTGGTCGCCTGTGTTGCGGTACCTCCCAGCAAAGTCTCCGACCACTGCGGGGGATTCCTAGGGGAGGAGTCGCAGCTGCAGGGCGGAGCATTTTGCCGATCTGAACCACAGGGAAAGCTTTTTGCTCCACAGTCTGTGTTCTATTAGATCATCCCATAAATCCTGCGCCTCCTCAGGTCAGCAGCTCTCCTGCTCTGGTCCTCTGCTAACAGAAGCTTGACTGCTGGGTGTGCATAAAAAATCAGCGGTGCTAGGGAGGGTCAGGGGCTCTGCATCCAATGGTTCCACACTGGTAGAAAGATTAATAAAGTCTCACATTAGGAGGACTTGGGGAGGAGGGGGGCTGAGGGTGGGAAAGGTCTTGTCCCTGGGTCACTGAGAGGGAATTAAAGGAGTCACAAATATGGTTGCCTTATCTCCAACCCAGCCTCAGACATAGAGGAGACACCTTCTCTAAGCCCAGATCCTCTGAATCTATGAGAAATATAAACCATTGGCATGTCTCTCCTGCCACTTTCCAGTCTCTGGGCAGCAAGGACTTGTAGCAGGGGAGGAGGGGATGGGAACCTGCAAGAAGGCCTTTTTTGCCCTTTTCCACCCCTGTTCCTAAGCAGCAAGCTTGAAGGAGCAGAGGGCAGGGAAGTCACTAAAAAAAGCAAGTGTTTTCCCATCCACTCTTGTAGGACCTTGAGTTAGAAAAGGCCTCAGGGTCTGGTGTGGAACAGAGCCCTCGGGAATCCCACCCAGGCAAAGGGCGTGGCTGCAGAGATGGGGGGGCGCTATCAGAGAGGGGTGCTACCACAGTTTCAGATTCTTGGAGCCGCTAAAGGATGGTGGAGGCTTCCCTAACTCACAGAACCCCTGAGCTAGCTGTGTGAGCGCTCACAGGAAGGCCTTCAGGGGCTGACACCTGAGCAGGTCTGGCAGGATCAGTAGCACTGGCAGTGACATCGGGGAGGATGGGGTGTCTAAGTCTACACTAGACGTGAACAATGACACCAAGGAACTGAGGCTGAGGACAGTCCGGTTCTCAAGCCAGTCCTCTTCGGTGGGTGCTAAGGCTCATAGAGGTTCAGTGTCACACCCCTGGCCACACCCCTAAAAGGTGACGTGCATGAGTCTGGCTCCTGCATACTTGCTCTGTCCCTGTGTGATCAGAACCATAGGGCCCGGCCCAGCAGGGCCTCCTGCCTCTCTCTGGAGCTCTGAGCTGCAGGTGTGTGTGTGGGGGGGTGTACACCAGATTCCCTGCTAGGGAACATACCCTCCTAGGCTCAGGGACACAGAAAGTTTAGCATGCACAGGGGACCAGGCCCTGTGCTTGGGCCCTGAGTGCACAGAGAGCAATGGAAGCTGGCCGTCACCCTTGGGGACTTCACAGTCTGGGTTGTGGATGGTGATGACAAACTTGACAAACAATGGAGGGGAGCAGCGTTTGCCAGGAGGATGTGGTTTCATAGCATCGTGATAACGGCACTCTGAGAAGGGATCATCTATGCCACTTAGAAAGAAACCGAGGCCATAGAGCTTGAGTGGCCAGGCAGAAGCTGCATGGCAGATAGCAAAAATTTCCCTCCTAACACAAAAGACCCCATGTGGAGCCACTTGCTGACACGGTGAGTTCACATCATGTCTAAGCCACAGGAACCTCAGGAAACCTGCTTGGCACCCCCTTGCTCCCAAACAAACCTACAGGGCCAAGACAGGAGGCAGGGCTTTTCTGATCCCTCACCCCCAAGACTCTCCATCCTGGACACCTTGGGCTTTTCCCCATACTGGAAGACTTAATTACTAAAGACTCGGTTCTCACGTGTGATGCTCTAAAACAAACTAGCTATTTTACTGAACTGATCTGAAGTTTTGACCGACGCCAGCACTGAACAGTCTTAAAGAAAGCGTCATCCTGAAGCACTGACGTCACCTAAACACACCATCTCCACCTTGCACAGGATACGACCACATTGCTACAGTAACAGTGGGAACAGAGATTGAAAAAACCAGTGTCTAAAAGGCTGTGGTAGGAGAAAACAGGTAAAAGAGGGGGTGGCTGAACTGGCCACTGAAGGGTGTATCCCAGGGTTTGCAGGATAAGAAAATAAAAATATCCATAAAGGCATCCAAATTTGGGCTGCGCCTCCTGTAGTCTGGGAACGAGTCTCCAGTTAATAAAGACCATTGCAAGTGTCTTGGAGGCTCACGTCATTTCCCCAGGGTGTCGCTCACTGTTCTTGAGGCCCCTGGGGAGTGATTTGATATGAGGAACTTCAGAAACATCTCCGCTGTAGAAAAGAGGTTGTCTGAGGGCCACTGGGAAGGTGGCTTTGGAGCAAAATGGCCAGGAGTAGAGATGGGGGACAGCGGGGAGATTGGAGAAAGACTTGGGGTTCAGAGAGTGTTCGTTGGTGTGGGGGGTGATTTTCTTAACCACCAGTCTCTGGCTGTAACAGAGATGCTGACAGTGGCTTTGATAATGGCAGCTTCAGTCCTGAGCTCGCACACGCCAGGCTGTCCTGGGAACCAGCCCTTCCATATGATGGAGGAAACTGAGGCTGGGAACCAGTCTTTCTGGAACAGTGTGGCCAGGCTCTGGCTGACACTGTGTGGCCTCCTGAAGGTGGCAAGGTCCACAGTAAAGGCTCCTGTCTGTGTCTGCTACTGTGCGAAAGTGAGGCCTAGAGCCTTGCGGCTTTCTGCAAATCTCCCAGTTCATTTACATCTGCGACGTCTGGAGAAGCCCCAGTGGATGGTACACAGTTCAGGAGGAATCGCTGGAGGACTGCCTAGCCAGAGCCAGCACAGACCTGGTTCTGAGGTTCCCTCCCTGGCAGGCTGGCCACAGGCTCTAGGGCTCAAACGCTCGCCTGCAGGGTGGACCTGACAAGCTCTACACTCCATCCTCCCTGATTTGCAGTTGCCACTTCTGCAGATTCATGAAGACCCCTGTGAGGGTCCTCAAGGTGGGCAAGGACACTAGATTGTGGCTTCTCTGCAGGGACCCCTCTAGAGATGACCTTGATACTTTGGCCTGGTCTAGTGAGATGGAACAGGGTCCCCTTGGCTGGGAGGAGCTGGGGAGCCCCTGTGTGAGGGAACCGGTTCAAAGACATCTTAGTGGAAAGTTTGTCTCCTACCACATCCTTCAGCTGTTTACAGGGTGGCGGGGGCCTGGCATCCTGACATGAAAAGAGGCTCACCCCGCACCATCATGGAGGAAGGCCCAAAATAGCAGCTAGGGGAGGGGGACAGAGAAAAGAAAGAATGTCACAGGCAAGGTACATCCCGCAGCCTTGGTGAGTCCTCACCCCAGGCCTGCAGTTTCCTGGCTCACCTGTCTTCAGTCAGGGCTATGAAGCCCAGAAAAGTCTTCAAAGTAGGTCAAGGGGACCTGGGTGGGGCTCTGGGGCCTGATTCAGTCCACAAGTTATTGTCCAGGGTAGAAAAGATGAGTGGGAAGGGCTGGCTGGAGGGGCCAAGAGGGCTGGTCAGGTGGTAGGTCTTTTTGGGTAGGGGCTATGAATGACCCAGAAGAGCCCAGCCATCCCGGCTGCAGGAGGGTGTTCCCCACCCAACCCAGGCCCACCTGACCCCAGTCACCCCCTAAGTCTGAGGAGAGAGAGAGGGCTCTGCCTCAACGATTGCCTCTGAGAGGTCACCAGCTTCCAAGAATACCTCCTACCTCTGCCACTGCTCTCCTCAGCATCAGCTTCCCTGTACAGTGTCATATCGCAGAGGTGAGCAGAGTGAACAAACACACCGTGTTCCTCCATGGCCACACAGCATCCCTCCAGAGACCCGGGCTTCAGTGCATAGAGCTGCAGCTAAGCCCCAACCCTACCCTGCAGCTCCCTTACTGGGTACAACAATCTTTTCCCTGGCCTCCATCTCTCCCCTAGCCTCTACCTCTCACCTGACCTCCATCCCTCCTCTGAACTCCACCCTCTCCTTGGCCTCATTCCTACCGTGACCTCCACCCTTCCCCTGTCTTCCATACCTCTCTCCTGGCCTCCATCTCTCCCCTAGCCTCTG